TATATATGAAACAAACCTAGTTTGTGTTGCTGATTGCGATCTAGATCCTTTAGCTTGGCCCCCTGGCGTGTGCGCTGGACGGGTCGTGCGCGCACAGGTAGAGGATAAACTAGAGACCTACACACTGTGAGAAGAGAACGAGAGGGTGAAGGTAGTTGTCAGAAAGTGAAGTATTGCCGAGCTATTGACCTGAGGGTAACGAGTAATAATGTGTACGAATGGCGAGATGTGCGGTAATATCGAGGTATAGATTACCATAAAAGTAGACTCAAAACAAATTGTGGACTTTCATCCTGAAGTTTTGAGTGGTTTATGCTACAATCACATTCAAAACATGCAACAATCACATTCAAGACATATTACAATCACATTAAAAACATACAACAATCACATTCAAGACATACTACAGTCACATTAGAACATACAACAATCACATTCAATACATACTACAATCATATTAAAACCGTTTAACAATCACATTCAAGACATACTACAGTCACATTAAAAACATACAGCAATCACATTCAAGACATACTACAGTCACAGTAAAACATGCAACAATCACATTCGAGGCATAGTACAATCGCATTAAGACGACATACTGAAGCACACTACAATCACATTTTAAACACACGACAATCACATTAAAAGCATACTACGATCACATTCAACATCCACCGTACTTGTGTGTGGTTCACTCTTCTTGCCCTGTGTGTAGAGTGTCCCGTCTTTCCGCAGAGTGCCTTCAATCGAGAACCAGTCAGCAAAGGCGTACCGTTTGGGCAGTTTGTGCTGTCCCAGCTGCTCGGCAATAGGGTAGATAGTGAGCCCAGGTTAGATTATAGAGCGTATTTACCGAGAAAAATGGGTATGTGCACGGATTTGTTGGCCTCTCGGTGTATATACGTATAAGAGCAATTTAAATTTGATACAACGAATGTGCTTCCGCACAAACTATATACAACGTCAAGTTTGGATCTGTCAGCCCAAAGATAAACAGTTGATCATAGTTTTTACTTCTCATACTCGTTATGTCTCTATGGACACTAGACTGCCCAGCCGTACGGGTGATAAAGCAAAACGTTATACACATCCAAAATCTCTGCCTAGCACATTGTATATATATACATATTTGAACGTTACACACGTCCAAAATCTCTGCCTAGAACATTGTATATATATAAACATTTGAACGTTATATACGTTCCAAATCCCAGCCTAGCACATTGTTTATATATATACTAGCACATTGTATATATATACACTAGCCACTAGCACAAGCACACTAGCACATCACTAGCACATTGTATATATATACACTAGCACATTGTATATATATACACTAGCACATTGTATATATATACACTAGCACATTGTATATATACACATTTAAAGTGTCATTTAACCCACCTCGCTAACTTCTTTCTCATGATCCTCCATAAACAAGGCCGACAGCCGATGAGATTCTCTAGTGGGACCAGTAAGCACGGTTCGATTCATCTCTGTTCGATATTTTGTAGCAATATATGGGAGTGTTAAAGTGGTTCAATAGGTGCATATGTGTACATGCTTGGTTGTCTACGGGCGAATAGTCGTGCAGTGTACTGTACGAATGTCGACTATCACGAGGGTATCCACAGCACTATTCGCTCCATCCTCGATAGTACTTCAGGGCTACATACCAAGGTAGTAAAGCAATTGCCCATACATATACATACATCGTCTTTTTCGGTTGCGTATGTATGCACATGCACAGATGAGTTAAGTATACGTACAAATTCTGATTGTTGTGGTATAAATTCTGATTGTTGTGGTATAAATTCTGATTGTTGTGGTATGAATTCTGATTGTTGTGGTATATACAGCACCATTGGAGTCTACCTTTGCTCTGGCCTCAGTTGCAGATACGCGTGTATATGAGAAATTCCGTGACGGCGTTAAAATTGGGTTGAAGCTCAACACAGACGATACATAGGTACTACATCCAGTAAGCACTTTTAGAGATAATAATAGTAATACATGTTAAAATATACTATCGATGCCCACACTTCAGGAGCACATTTACACACGCTGTGCACACACACACATACATACATACATACATACACACACACACACACACACACACACACACACATATATA